GCAAGTTGGACTTGTGATCCGGGTATCACCAAATTAGATTCTGATCAAAAGATACTCATAAGACCGCTTTCCGCACACATAACGGTCACTACGAGTACAAAGTCATGTCGTTCGGTCTCACTAGCGCTATTGCGACCTTCCAATCATTGTTGGATGACTTGTTTTGCCCTTACTTAAGGAAGTTCATTTTGGTATTCTATAATGACATTATGATCTATAGCCCGACTAAAGAATTACACATCACTCATGTTGAGATTACCATGGATGTTTTACAATAAAATCAGCTTTACCTAAACCTCAAAAAGTGTGAATTCGGCCAACGAAAGCTCTCTTACTTGGGTCATGAGATCTCTAAATATGGGGTGGCAGCCTAGGAGTCCAAAATTCGATTTATGATAGAGTGGCCAACTCCTAAAAACATCAAGGAACTGTGAGGATTCCTTGGTCTTACGGGATACTATCGGAAGTTCGCGTAGGGTTATGCTAATATAGCGACCCCTTTGATGGACTAGTTAAAGCGGGACAAATTCTAATGGAATGAGGATGCGGGGCAGGCTTTCGAAAGGTTAAAACAAGCAATGACCTCAGTTCCGGTGTTAGTAATGTCGGATTTCTCATAGACCTTTGTAGTCGAGACGGACGCCTCTAGGTTTGGTCTGGGAGTTGTTTTGTTGCAAGGGAATAGATCGGTGGCGTTTTATAGCAGCACTTTGGGAACACAAGCAAGACTAAAATCGATATACGAGAAAGAATTAATGGCGATTGTCAAGGCTGTTTTGAAATGGCGTCCCTACCTCCTAGGAAGGTGCTTTATTATTGGAACCGATTAGTTAAGTCGCAAGTACATTCTTTAGTGAATTATGAGCATTTGATTTGGCATGTGGAATTGTAAGAACACAAAGAACACAGTGATTTGGGTACTAAAACATGTATTCTATTATCATGAGGAGATTACAAAAACGAACTAGATCTAGTCTACATAATTAACTCACTCAAAACTCTATATGAACTACATCTCTCAAGCACACTCTACAAGTGGTATGCAACCCACTATATATAGAGGTGCTAACAAGTCTCTCTTATCTCTCTCTCTCTCTCTCTCTCATGTCACAAGGATCTAATCCTATATGTGCAAGTGGGTCTTCTCAAGCCAAGCCTTCACTAGTCATCTAATGGAGAACTTTGTACCCAACACATTCTGGAACAACGAGTGATAGGCAATGACTACCAAAGATGGGTATCTAAGTTGATGAGTCTTACTTTTGAAATTCAGTATCAGACCAGGGCTAGTAATCATGTGGCGGATGCCCTGTCGCATTGAGTAACCCCACCAACGTGTAATGCTATCCTCGTGGGCTGTGGAGTTTTTGGGATCAATTGTAGGAAGAAATCAAACAGGATGAATTTATTGGAAAAGTCAAGTTGGCGGTAGAAACGAAACCAAACAACTACAAGGGGTTTAGTGTCTATAAGAAAAGATTGATGTATAAGGGGAGGCTGGTAGTGCCCTCAAAAACAAAGTCGATCCCAACCATCATCAAGGAGTTCCATGACTCTCCAGGTGGTGGACACTTGAAAGAAAAGAAGACTTACCAAAGCATCATGACTGAACTCTATTGATCCGGGATGATAGTCGATATCAGCAAGTACGTGAAAGAGTGATTCGTTTGTCAACAACACAGACATAGTACCCTTTCACGAGTAGGCGTCTTACAACCTCTTCCGATTCCTTATAACACATGGGATAAAGTCACTATGGACTTAATAGAAGGGATGCCAAAATTAGATAACTGGGACACCATTTGGGTGGTGGTAGACCAGCTAAGCAAGTATGCTCACTTATACACCTCCAACATCCCTTCACAACATCAATGGTGGCCCAAGTATTCAAAAAGGAAGTCGTTCGGCTTCATGGGTTGCCAAAATCTATCATGAGTGATAGAGATCGGATTTTCTTGAGCCAATTTTGATGGAGTTGTTCAGATTACATGGAGTCTAGCTGAAACGGAAAACCGCATACCGCCCGCAAACGGACGGGCAGTCTAAGGTGGTAAACCGATGTATTGAAACATATCTTCGGTGTTTCTGTTCCAAAATACCCTAGCAATGGTCTCGAAGCTTAGCATGGGTCGAGTTCTGGTATAATACGTCATTCCATTCCTCTACCAAATGCATCTCTTTTCGTGCTCTGTATGGTCGTGATCTCCCACCAATTATGTGATATGAAGGGCAAATCACTGTCCTAGATGCTTTGGACAATATGTTGGAAGATCATGATGCCATCCCGGATGATTTGAAGGCCAACTTAATTCGAGTTCAACAGAAAATGCAAACTCAAGCAAACAAAGGCAGGAGAGATATGCAATTCTAAGAGGGAGATATGGTTGATCTAAAATTGAAGCCCTACCGATAGTAGAGTTTGACTAGCATGCGTTATGAGAAGTTGGATGCTCGTTATTATGGTCCTTTCAAGATTATTGGAAAGGTCGGGAAGGTTGCTTATAAGCTGGAATTGCCCGAAAAGCCGTGATCCATCCGATATTTCATGTATCTCAACTAAGGCCTGCTTTTGGTGTTCCTCTTACCCCCTCCCCATTACCAACACAATTGAATGGTGATTTGGAGCTTGTAGTTCAACCCGCGGAGTTCAAAAAGGGCTAGACTCAAGAAAGGAAGCAACATGGGAGAGCTAGAAATACTCATCCAATGATAAGGAACTTCTAAAGCTGAAGCAACATGGGAGGACTATGAAAAATTCAAGCTGCAATTTCCAGGATTCGACCTTGAGGACAAGGTCAAATTTTGGGTCACCGATATTGATAAGCCCAAACCATTCTTAGTCTATCAAAGAAGGTCCATGAAGCCCAAAGAGAGGACAAGCCCAAATCAGTGAGCCAACAGTTAGAATCGTGGGAGGGAGTATTCCTTTCATTTTGATTGGTCTTTATTTTTGTTGTGAGCATTATCCTTCTGTGTCAGTTCTGTCCCCAAGGACACTACGGTGTTGGAGGGTATTTGCTTTTTGTTTTTGTCTAGTATTTAGTCTCCCAGGTTTGGTTGAGAAGGTAGCGAAGAATTGTGTAGTAAAAGCTATCAGAGAGAGATCATTTCCTCTCAAAAGCATGGAGTTTAACATTTGAGTTTGTTTCATTGTCTTGTTCATTTCTTTGTTTATTTTGAATTTGCATATCAAACTACTAAGAATCATCAGGGGTGGTACTGGAAGTATGGAACAAAAATATTTTATTATAAACTAAGAATCCATTTAACATGGAAATTAACCATTTGTGAATTTTAAAAAAAAACATATTTGCATATATAACATGAAATTTCACTCCTTGGTGTCGCTTTTGTCTATAAAACACAATATATTTCTTCAATAACTAAATTATATTAAACCACATGAAGCATTATAGTTGGAATCTCTCTTCATTTTGGTAAAAGAACAAGTTTATTAGTGTTCCCATTCGCATTTAAATTTTTGGAATATTTGGTAGAAATGATAAACTTTGTTACACTATAAACATATATTTTGTGAAGGCTATGTTTTAGAATCATATATATATATTTTTAATTTTTATATTTGAAGTTGTTTGAAAATCAGGTTTCGAAGGGAAAGAATTTGCCTATTATGCAGAGCTTTGGTGAGACTAGCAGATAGATATACGATCATTTGGATCATGCAAGATAGAAAGAGAATTAAAAGAACACAAAGTGGGATTATAACCAATTGGTTGGTTTAGTTGCCATGAGTTTAGCTTCTACATATGAGGACGTTTATGTCCCTGTCGCAAATGATTTGGTCATCTCAGAAACAGCTTACTCTAGAATTGAAATTCTTGAAATCGTAGTTAACTTAGTCGTTGTTTCATTGATTTTTTATCTTATTTTAAGCATGAATACGAGTTGATACTCTAAATTGAAATTCTAGAAATGGTGCTCATATGACAAAAAAAATCACTACTTTTGCTGAGGTGGTCCTCAAAAATTAAAAAACTTGCAATTCTTATGAAAGATGTCAATGATTTTGATAATATAAGCATATGGAGTGATGCCCAAAATTGAAATCTGCATTCGTGTTCTTCTGAAGGTTATAAATGAGAGCTTTAATTCAACATCATGTGTTAATTTTGATTGTTTTTAGTGTGCGATTGCATCTATGATTGTTGTCACAACGAAAATTGTCAAAATGGATTGCAAGTTTGAATATTTTACGTGGTGAAAATGGTTAAAAAAATGTCGATGTCAGCGATTTTGTGTGTTATAGTTCTGTTCCTTTGAGTTTTAGATCGACCTTAGTAGATAACCCTTCATCTCTATTCATATAACTCTTTCTTCTATTAACATCAGATGTACAACTTAACTTTGAGTGGATTGGATAAGGAAGTCGTGTAGATTTGTTTCAATCATGTCTGTTATTTCTTTTTGTTACTATGTAATTTTTCCTTCATTTGATATATAAAAATTCAAATCTAATAATTTGTTTTTTCTTTGCTTTTAGATGAATGTACACAAGATAAACACAACATAAATACTTTTTTACTCAAGTATATAATGATAAACATACGATAGCTACAAAGGGATTGATATGACAATTATCATACCACATGGATGTAAATTAAAAAATATTAAGTTTGGGTAAAATCAGAACCATTATTAGCATAAAAAATATAAAACAAAAACAAAAAAAAAATCCGTAAGAAAAGTAATTATGCATACCAAGTGCAAAAACAGGATTAGATGTGTCAATAATCGAATGGAACAAATAGATGAACAAAAATGCTATGCCTTTTGAACAATATAACCAAGATCCATAAACAAACACAAGAACATAATCAAAGTCCAAATGAACAAAAAATTATGTATTTAGATGTGTAAATTCTGAAACCAAACTTAAAACATTATTAAACAAAAGAACATCATGATTCATGAACCACATTGTGTCTCTAATCTATCTCTAGAAAACTGCTACAAAATCAACATATGCATGTGGAATTACCTCAAGGGTGAGAACCATAGCCATTGGCTGTTCTTTCTTGCACTAAATCAAGCTTCTTCTCGACTAACACTTTTCCATCATCTTTAAGATTATCATCTTCATCGTCTTCACTATCCAAAGTAAACTGAGCATGATCCAGATGCAGCATCTCAGCTCCGAGTGGTTTATATTGCATTGATTCATTGCTCACGCCATGTTTTCTGCTAAGTAAACTATAAACTCCAGCAACGAAACACACAAGAAGTGCAAGATGACAATTGAATTGCAGGGTAGCAATGGCTCTAGCTCTATGAAACTCAGGGTGTCCTTTACATCTGATTGTAAAATTTCCTCTACTCTTTTCACGCATGAAGCAACCATTTGTGATGGAGCTCGAATAGAACGAAATCCCCATTTGAACAAACCACATCCCTTGCAGAACCAAACCAACTCCTCGCCCTAACCTAGAATAGTTTGATTTTGGGGTTCTGAGTTCGAGAAGTGTGGAGACGATACAGATACAGATTGGAACAAGGAGTAGATCATAGTAACGATTCTCGATCCCATCTGGATCTTTCTTCTGGATGTAAAACAGAAAGAATTCTTCGACGAAACCAAACAGACAGAGAACGTTGAGGATTGATGATGGGAATTGGAATGAATTTCTAAGATTTGTTAATATACCTAAAACAGAGAAGAGAAAGAACAAAGCGGAAATTGATATTACCTCCAATTGAAGAACAACGCCCGTTTGATCTTTTGATTTTATACCATCGATTATAGAAATTAACGAATTTAAGATGAATAAGAAGGAAACGAGAGAGATCGTGAAGAAGATTAACGATGTAACGAAAGAGCTCGATTTCGATCGAGTAGTTGATGATGGAAGCGCGGGTGATGAGAGAGATGACATTTGAGATATTTGCTCTAGGGTTTCGGAGGTTGAGATTATGGATTCAGAAGCGCCGATGAGGAACAATCCGCCGCCGCCGATAGCGTAAGTGAAGAGTCCTGCCATTGTTACCGATCTTCGTTGAAATGATAAAGAAAATGGAGGAGGAATTTGATATGAGATTGGGGTTTTTCTTCCCAGGGTTGGCTTGGTGTAATTCTCGAGTTTTGAAAGTCAAAGTCAAATATGAACGAAGAGAGAGAACATGAATCTGTTCTCCGCTGTCCGCCTGTCGTATTGGAATTGGGAACTCTTCTTCGTTGCCTACGGGGAATACACCGCCATTACCGGCTTACCACCACCGCCACCGGCAACTAGAATGATATAAAAAAGTATTAGGAGAATGAACACTGATAATCCAGATGATGATGATGTTGCATGAATCAATTGTTTGTTTTTACTGCAAACGAGCTGAGAGTTAATTTTGTTAAAAAATAAATGAAAATCAAAATGTTTCTAACAATAAGAACTTTACATTACTCAGGAGTTTAATTAATCAAAAGAAAAGAGGAGAAGCGGAAAGATCTGGAAAGAGAGTTTATTTATTGGAAAGAAAAGAAAAGAACTAGAAAGGAATATTCATGTGAATTTTTGGAGATAAAGGAAATGATTATTGTTATCCGAGCCAAACCAACTATTAGGTTTTATTTTATTTATTATTATTTTTTTTCATTGACATAAAATTGATATTAATTGACCCATTGTAGCCGTTTTATGTTCCGGTATAATAAAATAGAGCCATTAGACTAAGAGGAGTGGCATCGTCATCGGAGCTCGTCAGGGTCGCTAGCAATGTTGAAACACCGCCCCCTAGCACTCGCTAGGGGGCTTGCTACTTGAGACCCGTTGGATGTTTGGCGAGAAGAGAGACATTGAAGAAGCAATGTGATTGGAAGCAATGTTTTGATCAACAACATCGGACATATACCATACACAGCAAAATTTAGATATATAAAAGATGGTGAACAAACAACTTTTTAATTTCTATATTTAAGTTTGGAAAACAATAAGATGACAGATCGATTTTAAGAGTGAAAGAGGCAAAAAAATAAACCCTAAAAAACAAACATTAAATGTTTTTTTGTTCACCGGAAGCAGCCGCCGTCCTCCACAAATCTCCGTCAGCGCCGGTTACTCTATTGTCACCGGTGTTGGTACGTGCTAGCTTTGCTTCGCCGGTAATACACCGAACTTGGTGATTTTTTCTTTTTCGGACCAGGTTTCAATAGTTTGTGGTCATTTTCGTCATTTATCGCCCGAAGTCGCTGCCATCTCCACTCTATTCTCCGGTGAAAGTCGGTTCAAATCGCCATTGACTGCTTCAATCTCTCTATTCTCTCTGACTTTTTTTTATGAGTACTCATCTTCTCCATTCTTTTTGTTAGTTTGGTTTTGTAATTAAAAGTAAATAAGCAATAACAGTTACTATTAAAGTAAAACCAGCACATGGTTTTGAAGTTAAGAAATCTATAAAGTAATGTTTTCTTTTATTTGTGAATTTATTATAATTAATTGTTTTCTAGAGTTATAAAAATATGGGTGGTGTTATGGACACTCCACTTTAGTCCACTCTAGTCTAATGAACCCTATCCTATAGCTTATTATATTCTAATCATTTCATTACTATATGATTTAATTATTACATTATTATTATTATTATTATTATTATTATTATTATATATATATATATATATATATATTAAAGTTGTAAAAAGTTTTAACAGTAAACCTGAGACATTTTAGCCAACTTTGGCCCCTTAAATTACATTTCCGGTCCTTCTATTTTTGTTTGTGGGTCACTTTAACTACGTTAATGTTGATCGGGGTTCGCTGCTCGACCATCTTTATGAATAGTTCCGGTTTGCCGGTTATTTTATCCCCACACCCGTAGTTAGTCGATCCTTCCCGTTTCTTCCTTCCACCGTCCTTATCCAAATCTTAACGAGTCCAAAACCCATATTGAAGGTATGAGATGTTGCTAACCCATCGTCACCCACCTCGATAGGTCTCTTGGTTTCGCCTGATCAATCACCGGGAAATCAACGAGGGGAGGCCGACGATTTTTACCTGCGATAGTAGAAGCAGCGGCGGCGGCAGATGGAGTCGTCGGCGGCAGCAGCAACAACTACACCCAACACACTTATCGCTTTCATTTCGCAAGCACAAACCTCGATTTCGCGTATTCTGTTTCTTCTATACTGTCCTGAATCGATTGCTGGCATATGATCTCTGGAAATCACACCTCAATTTCATCAAGGTTAGTTTTCGATTTTCTTTTATTCTCTTCATTTATCCATGTCTTCTTTATTGTTTTCTGTAAATTGTAGGTAAGCAAGGTGGCGGGTCGGGTGGCTCCAGCGCTCCGGGGGCGATTCAAACTTAACGAAGGATATGGTGATTCAGTGCTTTCTCTTCGATTCTCGCTTCCTACCAGATTCTGAGACCGATTGTCAACCCCAAATCAAAGCTGAAGGTTAGGGCTTAATCTTCTTACAAAAGTTAACAAATGTTTCAGTTTCAGGTCATTCTGATATCCTATTCTTTTTTTTTTTCAGTAACAATCATCGATTTTGTTCTTGTATAAGTATTTCTGTAGTTGTTTATTGATGATATGATGAAATTCAATGTTGAAAAAAGGTCATATGACCTGAACAATGTGATGAGAAACAAAGCTGATGCAGATGGGGCTGGAAGGATGACGTGCTTTATGATTTTTAGTCCTTCTTCTGGGTATGATTGTTTCAACATTCAGTTATATTTACCAGCCAACTTTAATGTTCATTTTGTAAGGAACAGGGTACATGGAGCAGAAAATTGAAAGAGAGACAAAGCTGCTACAGATGGGGCTGGAAGGATTACGCTTACTCAGTTGGTTGAGGTAAGATGTTTGGTGCTTCTGTCATTTAACCATAGGCAGAATGCCTCTTTCTAGGAGCTCATTTTCAGTTAAAAATGCTTTTTTTTCTTCCCTCTTATTTCTCACAATATTTCTATTACAAAATAAAATAGCTTTTATTGTTTATTTAGAATGTTGTATCAGTATATCTAACATTTATCTTTGTAGACTATATACTGGATTTGGGTAAAATTTCAAATATGTATGATTTAAATTACAATTATGTTGTTAATTGATTTCTCATTTTTAAATATGCAAAATACCTTTGCATTTTGAACCCAACAGGTGATGTGAAATGCTGCCAAAATATCTTAAGGGTAAATAGGTAAAACTCTTCAATAGTTAACCATATTTTCATTTTTCATGGAAATCTGCAAGTATAGATGAATTGATACTTACGATTTTCCATATCCTACAGTACTTTGGCGGGTCTGTTTTCGGAGTCCCTGTGAGTCATACCCGATCAGGGCCTTTCCACCAGTATATATTCTCCATATATTCTACAGCAACCTCAAGAATTTGTAATCGCCAGTTTCAAGGTTGGACCTTAAGGTAAACTAGATGAAGTGTTGTATCCATGATTTTGTTAAGTAAGCAACCGACAATAATCAGATTGTAGCTTATGTTCAAAGGCTCTTAATATCTAATCATTGATATCTTTTTTCTAATTTCTGATTTTGGAATGTAATTTTTTGTGATTTCTACTTCGCAGCTGTGTAATTTTTTTTAGTTGTTTGCCTGTTTGGATAATTGAAATGGTTAATGTGGAAATGTAGATTAACTTTGTTTTGAACTTTTGATCATACACTTGATTTCACAGGTTTTGTGTTTGAAGTTTGGTTAACAGCGTCATTCTGATTTTTGGTTTGGTTGAAATTTCTATATGCTCAATGTGAATTTTTTTAGCTATTTGGATTATTGAAATGATTAATGTGGAAACGTAGATAAGGTTTGTTTTGATCATACACTTGATTTCACACGCTTTGTGTTTGAAGGTTGGTTAATCTTTGGGGTTCAATAAATTTTGAACTATAATTATTAAATATTAATGGAATCTCACAAAAGTGAATGTAATTTAGTATTGCTTTTGAATTTGCTGCTTTTGGGTTGCAGGCTTATACATAATTGACTTTCTATAGTCGTTTAATTACGTTTTCCTTAGAACAGTTTCCATGGTGGCTTAGTTTATCTGCGAAGGGATTGAGATTCAACATTTTCCTACTGACACTAATGACAAGTTGCTAAAACTGTTGGGAAAACTAAAAGTGAAGGTCTAATTCTTTCCCTAATTCCCTTTATGTATTTAGTCACTAGACTCGCATTATAAGAAATATTATACAAATTAACGTTACCAATTCCTTATTTAATGCAATGTTACAGAAAAGGGACATGTTAACGATTATTGTAATGGGGAAAGGTCGAGTTGGAAAATCTTCAACCGTGAGCTCCATCATTGGTGAAAGAACAGTTACTGTTATTGCTTTTCAGGTACTTTAAGAAGTTTATAAAGACATTTTTTGGACTTAAAATTTGTTGTACATGTTGTTTTGCTTAAAACAAGGACCAAAAAAGACTTTTTCCAATTTTGGACTAAACAACCATAAGGTCAAAAATAACAGAAACCATAGCTAAGCGAGCAGCAACCAATTTCTACTTCAACAACTTCTACTTATAGCTGTTTGGTGTTTTGTGACTAAACTACCCCTATGTAACTGACACCTCTGGTATATGTTGAATCTTTGTTTTTTTTTGTTCATATTTCAATTTTGTTGAAAGACCAATTTGCCCCTGCACTCAAATATGCCACAGTACAGTAAATTGGGACAGTGTATGTTTTTTAATTTGACTTGCCCCATAACGATACTCAAACTATAAACAAATAGTTGATCAAATGATATTTACAAAGAACAAACAACGGAAAAAATTGTCGCATCCGACCCCGCAACGCGGGGGTCCCCACCTAGTTATTATTATTATTATTAAATTACTTTATTACTATATTATTATATTCAAATAAAATTCACTTACCCTATTATTATCTAAGTTTTTTTCAAACGTTTTTCGATAAAATAAATACTATAGTATAATTTACTTCATAAAATAATAGTATAAATAGAATTATAAAAATAAATGTATTTGGAATAATTAAACAAGTGGATGAACATTTGTTTGGCGATAAAAAAAAAGTCAGATTAAAAAAAATCATTTGGTTATTATTCTTCTTTAAAAAAAAAAAAAAAAAAAAACTTGCATATTTGTCAGCCCAATTCTCCATTTAAAACAAAAAAATCTAGGAGGAACCTAACACCATATTTTTCTCAGATTATATTACTCTCTTGTTTGTTATTTGACGCAGCCGCCGCAATCGGACGACCGTCGTCGTCGGATCACCACAGCCACCAAATGAAATTTTTCTCAGATTGTATTACTCTCTTGTTAGTAATTTTTAAATGATGTTCAATTTTTTTATTAATGTTAATACAATATTTTTTTTCTTATATTATATTATTAACGACCCAGATGAAAACAAATTTTGATGTTTATATTTTTTTTTCACATTTGAATTGGACACTTGGTGGTTTAAAAATAAAGTAATTTAATTAAATTAGAAAAAGAAAAAAAAATGGAGTGCTTAGGAGTGTTACCACTCCCTACAAAATGTTAAGATAAGATGTTAAATGGAGAAAAGATGAGGTGGCATTCAAAAAGCTGATGTGGCAAGGTGCTAGGAGTGTTATCACTCCCTTTATCCTTATATATATACTAGGCGAATGTTCGCGCGTTGTGCAGAGACACCTATTAGTTGAAATCTTTACAAATATATGTTTTTTTTAAATATAACAATAAGGTTGTTGTTAAATTTGATATAATAA